CTTCACCCGAGGAATCTTTTTGATAAGAAGTAAAGGCCAAAGGAACAGCAGTAGTTCTCTTCCAATATCTGCTTGTTTTGTTATCTAATCATTCTAGTTGTCCTAATCTTACTCTGTTTTATCTTTTGTTAATTGTTTGGGGTGATAACAGTTGTCCTGTATGTTCCTTGTCTGTGGAAATTCTCATTCAAGGAGGATGGTCCTCTGACTACTTCTTGTATGATAACAAAATTATGAAATCTCGCTTAGCATCCTACAGGCATTTCTGGTCCATTCTTTAATGACTCTCAGTTTAGTTGTGGGAATACTGAAATAAGCAGAGAGAAATGGTAGCTAGAAAGACATGTAGCTCAGTCTTGGCTGACAGGGCTGCTTGACCTGTACATCTTGTGATGTAGAGATTCAAACAGCATTTGGAGCCTCTGGGAGCTTAGCTGAAGAGACTGTAAACGAGAAGATGCCCACTGCTACTTCCCCAAATATCTAATCTAAGGAAATGAATTTGGTGGTTTTGAATTTGTAAAAATGAAAAAATCAGTTTGAAATGAAACCTGTCAGGTAGCTTTGGGTTAGGTGGGGCTAATTGAAGCCAAAACGTTTCAGTTTCAATCAAAAATTTAGGGGGGATGTTTTCTCAGGTAACTTGGTTTTCAAGAAAGGTGTTTTGTTTTCAGGAAAGATGCAACTGCAGTGGAAGCTGTTGGTCATCTAACAGCATTGGTGCTTTGGAGCCACTGTTTTTTATTGAATGCTAAAAACAGAGCTCGTGCTGCCATCTGCTGTTGTTACACAGAGAGGCCCATATAGCTACAGGTCCACATCTGTGTTGTAATATTGTACTTTCTAAGCAGTCTTTAAACAAGGAGAAAGTATATAGTTTTTAAATGAGTACAGGGCATTTTGTTTTCAGAAGTAGAAGAGTATTTCAATCCCTGTCCTCTGACTGATTTAATAGTGATGTAAAATGGCAATTATAAGCCAACTGTACTGTCTTTCGACTTGCGCAGGCACTTGTGAGAAAGGATTTATTGGGTTTAATGCTAAACCAGAATATCAGCTGGAGATCCATTCAGGTTTCTGCCCAAAATGTGCCAGCACACCTGGAACTCCCCAAAGTTCTACCTCTCCTGGGTGGCAATACAAGAAATAAAATATCTGCTTCAATGTGCATTTTTTAATTAAATATCCCTACATATATACATAAATACAGCTATTAAAAATATATTGACTATCGGGTTTTTTCATTTTTTTAATTTACATGCCTAGCAAAAGCAATTTTTTTCTGTAGACTTGAAAATAATAATATTTTTACTACAAATATTAGATAGAGTTAGGGGAAAGATAAGAATTTGAGAAAAAGAAATCTCTCCTGGACATAACACACTGAGGCAGAGTGGGCAGTTTCTCGAGAACTGCGGTGTAGGTATGATAACTAAGAATAAATATGTTAATTTTTTACCAAAGAATAGCAATATTACAAGGGACTGGTAAGGTCTTAGCTAAAACACTGTATGCAGTTTAAAGAAAAGGAGATGACTCCAGGAAAAAAAAACAAAAAACAAAAAAAAAAACAAAACATGGAAATGCTTCATAGATGGCCAGGTAAATGGAGAATAGGACATGAAGAGACTGACATGTTCAGTCAAGCAGAGGAAAAGCTGAGGAGATATAAGAGAACACCTGGGATGGAGAAATAGTTGCTGAACCTAAGAGCTAACACCAAAGAGAAAAAATAGTAAAGAAGAGGGAGAGGAAAAAAAAAAACAAGCAGAAATACCTAAAAGTTAACCATTATTCTTTCAAGATGGAAATTAAAAGAGACTCTGAACTATTAATATAAATTATTTCTGTAACAACCTTCTAATACAAAAGCATTAAAATAGAACTTAACAGTGTTTTTAAAGTAAGCTTTGTTTTTTGTTTTTTTAATAACAGTGAAGATGCAAATGCAATTGTCCCAATGATCACTCTTGGTCTGCTTTTCTGCTTTTCTTTTCACACCATTAAATGGCAGAGGAAAATATGTTCTGGGAGTCAGAAGTACAGCTGGAGAGGGAAAAGGGAAACTGCCACTTCAGTTTTACAGCCGGACTCGCACCTCCAGAGCAAGGTAAGATTGTTTTTTTAATCATTTATCTGTGTTCCTGATTTCTTTCTCCTGAAATGAACTCTTCAGTGCTTCAGTGAATTTTTTTTTGAGGCTGAATAGGACTAGTGCTCAGAAATACAGTGATATTTTAAATATCTCACAATATCAGTTCAGCACAGTTGAGCACACTGTAGTTTTGTTTCATATTCAACTTTGCATTCAATGATCTTTGGGACAAAAACCTGAGTCTTCATTTTGAGCTGTTCCAATACTGACATTTCCCCTCCTCTCCCCTCATCCTTTCTGGTGACTCTCATAGACAGTTTCAGGCCCATCTAACAGAAAACTTACTTTTGGAGCTGTAAAGTACATGATGACAAATTTAGGAGGATCTGTGAATACACTGAGTTCTACAGCTACATTACTGGAATGGTTTGGATCACATCAAGAAATTCATTTTTATACGAAAATACAGTGTATGCAGAAGATTTCCACAAGGTGGAGTTGCAATGATGTTTCATAACAAGGTTTGTACAGGACATAGTCTGTACTCCTTTACAAAGGTTATGGTATAGATATTTCATTGTATAATTCAAGGATTCAAATAAAATATTCATGAAACACAGTACGTTTTCACATGATGTATGATATAATACAGGCATACAGATATAATAGCTTGAATAGCCTAACCCTACAGATTATTAAGCTCAGGTTCTAAGAGTTTGGTTCAATATTTTTCCCTTTGTTTGATTTAAATCTGATCCTATGATTTCTTTATCTAAAATTTGTTACACTTGAAATTAAACTCTAACATTTTAGTTTTCTAATTATGGAAAAATCTGTTGCTTTACATACACAAAAGTTCATCTTGTAATGCTGACTCCAAATAAGAATGGCTTTTGCAGAATAATATGAGAGAAAATTAAATTCAAAATAATAATACATGTAAATCTTAACTAAGGAAACCATGAACTAGGTATATAATTTCTTTAAAATATTCATGGCATTAATGAATTTTTTACTGTGCTTAGGCCTCGTATTTGGGTAGTACTCTTATTTCAGAAGGGACATTAAAAATTTCAGAGCGACTCCACTTGCTTGCTTGAAAGTGGTTTTTATTGGAGGAAGATAAGCATTGTCAGGATCAAGAGCTACGTATAATTATAAATGAAGCAGAAAACTCATAGCATCAGGACCAGAGCTCTAATCAATCATGTTAATTTAACTGTGTGCTGTTTTACAAACCATCTGGAAATGGAAGAAATATAGTGACTTAAGCTGAAGAGACGTGCATCAATCAAATAAAGAAAAGGCTTGCATAAATTTGCTTGCCTGCAAACTAAGCATAGAGATATCCAGTCTTAATTATTTCTACATAAATGTGTCAAGTTATATCAGGACCCAATACTCTTTGTTGGGAATCTGTTAGATTTTTCACATGTGGAGCTGTTAATGCTTTAATACCAAAAGTCCCAAAATAATAATATATTTCTAATAGTATATAATTTGTAATAGCAAAAGGGTGCATTCCTATACAATCTCAGCAATTTATCTTCTTAATGGAGATTGACTTCTTAATGGAGATTGACTGTAGGTGGCAGAGTACTTTTATTATCAGTAAGACATACAAACATTGATTAAAACTATTTAATTGCATGCATTACTTAATACTTTAATTAGCTCTTAGCTCTTCCATTAACACTACTGGTTCATTAACTTTGATACAACAGACAAGTGCAATTTGTAAACAAGAAAGTAATAGCAGGGATAGTTTTCATACCACAGGACAATTTACAAAAGCAATCAAGTCTCATGACTCATTCAACCTCTGCTCTTAAAGGTTCACTTTAGATTATGATATCAAACATGTCAAGATATTAGAATGTAAGATGTAGATGTGGTTCTGTGGTGGCAACACACACTGTCCCATCAGTGAAACAAGAAGTAGTCAAATCCTTCTAACAAACATGTTTTGTGATATTTTGTTAAAAGTAGCTTAAGTTAAAAGTAGTTTCCAAGGTTGGTTTTTTTTTTTTTTACTTTCAGTAGAGCAAATGAAGGCATGGTTGAAATGAAATATAAAATGTTCTAAGAGTAATTGAGCATACATATAGTATTTCACTTAGAGTTTAGAATTTAATATTCTGCATAAATTACTTATTTATATATATATTTTTTTTCCTTATGAAGAGCAAGAGTATGATCTTCTTCTCTTTTATAGAATCACCCATGATACAGCACATAAGGCAGTGATGGTGGAGTGTTAACTAAGACTTTCAACTCCCAGGACACACCACAGTTATGCATTTATGCTATGAATTTGTTCCTTCATTGAAGAACATTTTGGAGCAGGATCCAGAGGAAATATTAATTCTTACTTATTTTATTGGTTTATTTTTTGCTATGTTTTCGTCCAGATTTTTCACCAGAATGTTTGTATTTCAACAGAGGTAAGGCTGAGATCTTAGAGCCTGAACTAAGCTAAGGTTTTGGCTAGATAATAAGGAGTTGTAAATGTATGCAGGCTCAAGATATATTCAATGGAAGTGTAATGAGTCCTCAGAAGACAGTAGTAATATTATGGAAAATTATTCAGTAAAAATATCTGAGAAAACTGTAGGGGAAAGAATGTTCAAACAAAAACATCAAAGAGTCTGTTGTCATGGTAGGAACCCCTGTTGCTGTGATGATGAAATACAGGGTGGTGGTAGACACTGATGTTTTGCCAGTTGAGACATTTAAAGCCGTGGTATAGAAAGAATTGCTCTGATGACAGACTGCTTTCCTGTTGTGCAGAAAGTACTCCTGTCCTCCAACTGTGAATTAGTAACTTTATTTGAAAAAATGCACCTGTAATGAAATAGTTCTGTGCATAAATTAAAACTTACCCAAATAGAGGAATAATTATTGTCTGGATTTTAACACGTGGCACTGCTCTCCATTCTGTTTCAACTGTTTTCAGCTGGGGGTACAAAACAGTATAAAGATCCTAGGTTTTTCTCTGGTTTGGAGCAAAGTTGACTCAGATCAAAAATGTCTTTTCAACTCAGAGCCATTTTTAAAAGACAGATCAATTTGTGCCTGGCTCATTGGTTTGCCGTTTCTTTTCCTCCCTCCTCATCAGTCTCAGGCTCTCTCATGTTAACGTGCTTTTGTAGTAGAAATGATAGCTGATTCTAGCTAAGAATTTTAGGTATGGTAGCTTTATTTAAAAATATACAAACACCACCAGGTGTTCTCTGTGGAAACAGCTTTCCAATGAAAAACCCATTGAGCACAGATGAAATGTTGTCACTGTGCTTTGTACTTTCTATTGAAATCACAGCATTTCTCCACTGGAAAAAAAAAAACATCAGCAGTAGTGCAGTGTGATCTACTGTGAGAATTTAATCTGCAGTGTTTATGTAGCATTCATATGTTTGTGTAAACATGTAGAGCACGGGCACCCTGGATTGAAATTACTTGGATGAAAAAAAAAAAAACAATATATAACCATGGGAATCGTGGATAAGTAATTAATAACTTAGCATTTAACAAAGGATTTTTTTCCCCGAATTTATCAGTTGTAGTAGCAATTGCAAACTGCAATAGTAATAATATAAACTATTGTATTTATTATTTGAGAGTTACATAGCTTAAAAAAAAATAGTTTTAATTGATATACACACATGCTATTTTCAACCATCAAGTATCCTAAAAGGCATCAACTTCAGTTTTCAGTGATTCCTGTGCAGAACTTTAGTCGGGTAGAAAGGGAGAAATGCCTGGAATATAGAAGGGAGGGTTATCATTTATGTACGTACAGATATTTTTTACTGGAAGTACAGCATGTAAGGTAAAAATAGTTGTCCTGGAAGTGGTCATTCCTTAAACCATTCTAGAAACACTTAAAGCTCATTCTCGCCATTCCAGTACTTTGTTCTCATCTACACTGCATATCTCAGCTAGATAAGCTAGTGTCACTAATAGAAGTATTATGCTAATCGCTAATGATATTCAGTATATGTGAGTGCCTGTGTAGTTAATGTGAAAATTTATCCTCTGAAAAATATGAATGCCAATCATTTGCATCACTTCAAGGTCTTACATTGCAGTCCCATACTCAAAGCTGTAGATTATACATGTCCAACCCCCTACTTTCATGTTTTTGTGTCAATGTTTTTTATGTTTTAATAAAAAAAATATAAATGATACTTCAGTTTTGATACTTAGATTCCTTAACAGCATTATTTATTTTATGTGAGGCCCCAGGCAATTCCTCTTCACTCACCCAAACAGGACAAAATGTTGGACACTCCTGCATAATCCTCCATCTCTCTGAAGAATATAGGTCAAATGAAAGTCTTATGATCTGCTTTTACGTCCCGATACTATTTAAAATCTGAATTCTTTAAATTAAAATTTAAAAAATGTTTACTGTAATGGCATTTTGGTCTTTTCTCACATGATCCTACTTATATACACATTTAAGACATTTTTACAAGCCAAATGATGAGATGATGTTGATCAGCATTGTAGCAATAATGAGGTAGTAAGATGAAAATGAAAATTTCTGGATTTGAAGACACAATTGAAGAATACACAACTAGATATATAGAATTCTTAAAATAAGGCTTGGCCAGTTGATAGTTCTGTGAGTTTAATTGGTACATAGACATGAAAAACAAGAAAAAATTATTCTATTGATAAGTACAATAGTATTTGGTGAAATCTAAACCTCTTCTTTCTGTAACACATGTTTGTTTGTGATATAATTAAATCTTTTAGGTTTGTAGTGATACTGATGGGATGATTTTTAGATAAGGACTATGAAGAATTTTGTTTACTTCCAGTGTAATTTGTTTTAATATATTTTTCAAAATATAACTTGCTCTGATATTCATTTCAAATGTTCTTCTAAATACAAGTTTCTTTTCATTTTTGAAGTTTTTTCTTCTTCCAGAAGTCAAAAAGTAGCAAGTCCAATGAACAGTGACAAAAATAGAAAGGACAGTGCTATAAGAAGGCATATTATGAGTATCTATGTCTCATAACTTCTGTAAAAACAAGTCAGTGAACTTTTCCAGTTGCGACAATCTGTGGTAGTGTATCTGGTTTCAGAAGCAGCAGAAATATTGCACAGCACTCCAGCAGCAGTTACTGTAGCAAAGACACCATTTAAAAGATGGGAGGTGTGCAGATCATTAGGTTTTGGGCTGCAGCTTCAGTTCCTTCCTACTTCTTTCCTGGCATTCTATACTTCAAAGAAGCTAAACTGCAAATAATGTCAGAAAATACACAGAGACAGGAAAGGTAACAGGAGAAATGAACAACAAAACCAATAATGGAACTGATATGAGGTGATTGACAAGGGCATAAAAAATGTGATTTTTTAAATGACTTTTTTGTTGTTGTTGTTTCTGGATTTCCTCTGTGGGATGAGGACTTTGCTAGTGTTTGAGTAAATAAACAGCAAGTGACTCTGGGTGTTCTTATTTATGTGCTAAGCAGAGTGATATGCAAAAGCACTGAGTGAAGTGAGTAAAAGAGAAAATAGAAGGGACTCATAGAAGTCCAGTGGCCTAGCCATGAACAGGGTGAAGGTCTGTGCCTCTGTGCAGTGGCCTTTCTGCTGAACATTTTTTGACTGTTCTCACATTGCACTGTTAAAAGAAACGTGGAGGAGAGAGAGAGAGAAGAAAAAAGAAAAAAAAAAAAATGCAAACAGAAAGCTCAGTAAAGATACTTTATTTCATTAGTTCACTTTATACATTATTTTCAGTATAGTTTGATAAATGTGCCTCACCTGACATATGAAATGATTTGTTTACCCCATACAGTATAGTGGTTCAGCTAGTTAGGAAACTGTGAGAGAAGCATACAGTGATGTCTTACTGAGCAGAGAAAGCTATGAATGTATGTGAAAAGCAGATTCCTGGGTTGGGGGGGAAGAACTTTAGGAGAGGAGATTGTAAGTAAAATGTCCTGTTTAAAACAATGGCTTTGGAATTATACATGTATAAATCGCTAACAGAAAGCGGAAAGCCATCACATACAGAGTGAGCAAAAGCCGTTTGATCAATAAAAAAAGGTTACCTTACTCAGCACTTACAAAGAGTGCATATTTCCTTCAGCACTGCAATATCCAAATTAACTGGAGATATTGCATTCTAAATGGAGATTAGAACACAGCTGAATTCAGTAGAAATGGAGAAGGAAGCCATGGAATTTTAAGCAATCTGGTGATACTGCAGCCTTTGTGGCTGCTGTGAAGATTTGTTATCCCTAATGAACATTGCACAGAATACAGTTTCTTTCAAGGCGATAACAGGCTATATAATGATAACTCTGAAGGGAGTTACAATGTACCTGCCTAAAGTGGAGGGGAAAAAAGCTAGCTACCACATTATCAAAGTGAAATTGTATGAGCTTGGGGGGGGGGGGAATAAAAATATAAAAAAAGGGGAAAAAAAAAAGAGAGAAAAGAGCAAGCGGCTAATGGTTCATTGTTTTAGTTTCCAGTTATTCTACCTTTTCTGCTTTAACAATATGGTATTTCCCATGTAAAAAAGAAAAAGAAAATAATTTTGTACCTCAGCAGGTGAATACACTTTTTTTTTTTTCTTTCAATATTGAAGTAAAAAGGCAAGAGATAAATTGTCAAAATACTCCACCGAAAGATATATTCAACATGCTACTCACCAAGAATAGAAATTAGTGGAATATTGACTTTATTTTTTTATTTCTCTTTGTCTTTTTTTTTTTTTTTTTTTTTAATTTATTAGCTTTCACATCAGTGAAGACATTGCTTGAATGTATTTATTGTTGCGTGTTACTCTTGACACTTGTACTTTTGCCTGTAATGTGTGGATGGTGTGCATTCTCAGCAAAATTACAATGTGTCAGAAAAGTAAAATTAAGGAGAATCAGTGTCTGTTGAGTTTAATGTGAAGAGTTCTATTCATCTGTAAAAAGCTAAAGGCTCTTCAGTAACTTCATTGCTTATGTGTGTAATAACACAGTAGAGAAGGGAATGCAGTCTGTAACATCATTCTGTAAGGGTTGAGAATAGCGGCACAGTTCCTGAGAAGTCTAGAAAACTGAAAGATTGTTTGCTTGAGCAGGATCGACCCAAATACTGCATGGTTTTGAGTGAATGAGCAGAACTGGGTGTCAAGTACTTCAGTGCAAAAATTATGACTTGCTTTGGTTTTGTAACTCACATAGTAAGAAGCAGGTGGGCAGTGCATTGAAATGCCGTCAGAAATCTATGCTGAAAGAATGATAGAGCTCTTAAGAGGCCAAAAGCCAAATTTATGCCCTCTTTTCCATGTTGCTTGTGTATCATCTTGTATGATCAGATTCCACTACCAACTGGACTGACATATAAGCAGAAACAGGCCCACTGAAATCACTGGTTAAACGGGAGTTAGAGTTAGACTCAGACTTCTAACATAGTAGCAGAAAGGAAGAGGATGAAGCAATATTTTGTTTAGAAGCACTATTCCAAATTCAAAGGGCTCAAATACAGCATTGCTTTCCAAGTCAGTTCCTGCACACTGTCCATTTTTTAAAAAGTTAGCTGCAAATGATCTAAAAATAATTGTTGATTGCTGGGTTTGTCAAAACAGAGCCAATTCTGCCCATGATAATGGCTTTGCTAAAGTGTGCAGGAAGAACCCCAGTACGACTTACTTCAACTGAGTACAGTGTCTTCTCTGTAGTCATGTAGTAAGTAGGGGTTATAGTAAATAGTTAGAATCCGTTATCTCAGCTTTGATGTTCATGCTTCATCACACTCATGGGGATCTGGGCCACCTTACAGTCAACGAACATTTATTTCATACTCTGTCAGGAATGTGCATCCTAAACTATCATTCTGTCAGTCCTTTTTCTTCAGATTTATCAATCACAGTTTCTACAGGAAATGTTCTGATAAATATTTGAGTAAGTCTTTATTATAAGGATATGTGATGTGTAGGCTGTTATGCATTTCATTTTGTTCCAAATGTCAGATGTAAGAATTTTTGAGGCTTATTGAAACACAGTCTGTTCATCAGCATTATTTTTATCACCTCAGTAAGAACAAACAATAACTGCTGAATATAAATGATATTATTCCTCGTTATGTATATATGTATACTAGTGGCATGTCCATACATAACGAAAAGTCACAAACATGTAGCGATGTGTAACTACATACCTTATCACTGACTACCTTTTCCAGCAAGACAAATACTTTTCCAGAGCTTTTTTGGTTCACATTGTTTGGTTTTGTTTTTCCACAGAAATGTCATTTTACTGCTAAAGGTATCCTGGAGGTAAGCTCCATATAATGTACCTTTGTGTCAAAATCTTGGTTTTTTTAATATTTACTTCCTAAAAGTTTTGTCTATTTCTGTAAATATAGACAGAAGTTATTATCAGCAAACATATTTCATAAATGTACATATTGAAGTGAATGCATTTTGCCTGCTTTCTAAGCCACTCAAAATAGTAAATACAGAATTTGTAGTGGATATTTTAAGCTTCTTGCTTGTTTTAGTTAATATTTTACATTTATAACAATTTATGATGTTTCTTATTCAAGGACCATTGTGTTTATTTATTTGTTTTCCTAGCTTCCTGTTGCCTTTCCTTGACATATTAATTAATGCTCAGAAAAAATATGAAAACCTTTACCAGTTTGAGCATGGAGCTGAACAGAATTGGTTCCTACGCTGTTCTAGCTACAGCATTAGACTGCTGCTGGTATAGCAGTAGTTGCAGGAACAGTTTCAGTTAC